GAAGGAGGAGGGAGGGAGGGAAGAGGGGAAGGAGGGAGGGAAGAAGGGAGGGAATGGCAACAGAGGCAAAGGATAATGGAGCATGCTCCCTCGCTGTCCGCGACAAGGGGAGCGGACCCCTGCTGGCGCCAGAGGGCACAATGGCCGCGCCACGCGCGTCCCCTGGGGCCCCGAGGAGGAGGGGGAGGGGGAGGGGGAGGGGGAGGGAGAGGAGGAGGAGGAGGAGCAGGAGGAGGAGGAGGAAGGGGGCGAGGTGTCCCTAGCGCAGGGCAGGCCGAGCCCAAAGGAGGCACCAAGGAGGGCCCACCCACCCCAACCTCCGCCTGGCGAACGCACCCTTCCTGCATCTTAGGGGGCCACATGCGAACCCTACCCCTACCTCCCTCAAAAATCGTGGGGGATAGGGGTAGGGTTCGCATGTGGCCCCCTACATCTTCTCCGCAAGCCACACGCTGCCAGAACCACGAAGTCTGGACCCCCGACCAGCTCCGTCTCGCAGCTAAAGGGAACAACATGCAGAGAGGTTCACGGCCGCCACCGCAGCGACGCCCAGAGCTCCGCCAAACCCCGCACAGCGGCGGAAGCAAGACGACCTCACGCCCTTCACCACGTCGGTTGCCTTGCAAACTGAGGCAGCCAGGACGTCCGTCCTGCTTTATCGACTCCCCGGCTTCTGTTTGGTGTCCGCTCCATGGGAGCCTGCGTGGCCCCCTGTACTGCCCAATTTGGGCCTGATTTGGACCGGATCTGGAACAAATCTGGACCGGATTTGGACGAGACTTGGACTGGATTCGTGGGGGCTGAGAGAACGAGGAGGGGGAGGGGGAACAGGAGGGGAGAGGAGGAGCAGGAGGGTGGGTCACATGCGGTCCCCACGCTGTCCACATGCAGGAAAAGCTGATTTCAACGTCGCCGCACAAGGTTCCCATGAACAGACATCGAACTTTTGGGAGTCCCGAAACAGTGCGGTGACAGACCGTGCGGTGACCTCGAAATCCCCCAAGACCTCACCGCACGGTCCGTCACCGCACGGTCTTGGGACCTCGGAGGCCCCTGTCGCCCGAGACGTCCTCGGAGAACGACCCGAGCCCCAAAACCGTGCGGTGACCCCGAAATCCCCACCGACTCACCGCACGGTGTGGTCACCGCACCGTTTGGGGGCCCCCGAAACTTCTGGACACCGCCGCCAGCGAGGGCGGCAGCAGGGCGGCCCACCCGACCCGTCGCTCCCGCGGGCTGCGCCGCTGCCAACTCTCGCCCGCGGAGCTGCGGGCGCCGCGCTCCGAGGGGAAACGGCTGTGGGAGGGAGGGAAAGAGGAGGAGGAAGAGGAGGAGGAGGAGGAGGAGGAGGAGGAGGAGGAGGAGGAGGGAGGGAGGGAGGGAGGGAAAGAGGAGAAGGAGGAGGAGGACGACGAGGACGAGGACGAGGACGACGAGGAGGGAGAGCATGGAGGAGAGGCGGCACCAGCCCGGCGCGAGGCGTGGCGGCCGGCGGCCGCGGCAGGAGGCGGACCGGATGCTGTTGGCGACCTCGTGGATCTGCTCCTCGGGGCGCCGCCCGAGGGGCCGCTGAGCACCGCACCTCGCCATCGCTCGGACGACCAGCCGCGAGCGTAACTGTTCTGATTCGGCGTCTCGACATTGGGCGATGCATCGCCCATAGATCGGCGATGGGCCCCCGACAGCGAATCCCATGCTCCTGGGCGGGGGAGGGGCCATCGGGCCCCATGTCGGCGATGAGTGGGCGATTGGGGGAGCATATGTCAGCGTCTTCTGACTCGGCGTTTCGACATTGGGCGGAGGGGGGGGGCGGGGTCTGCCTCCAGACCTCTGCTTAACGCGACGGTTTGCAACAGTGCGTCCTATGGGGGGAGACTCCATCTGCTCGAAACAGGCGCCAAAAACAGCCAAGATCTACTCCATGGGGGGGAGGTGGGGGGTGCGAGGGCCCGCGCCGATCGGCAAAACAGTGAATCAGAAAACGATCATCATCCATTCCCCGTGCATGTTTCGAATGCTCCTCGATGGTCCTCGCCGAGGAAAAATGCCATGCACACGTCCAAGCGATACCAGGAGCAAGGAAGGGTACGGTAGGTTCGCGCGGCGTCGGCGCGCGCAAAGGTTTGTGGCACCGCGTGGATCATTCGACCTCGAACCGATCGCGGCCCCGGATTCTGTCGGGTCGCAGAATTCATCCTTGAGCGCCTGCGACGGCGTCGCTGGCGCGCCAACACAGAATGAACCTACCGTACAGCGGGGGTATGCGAAGTCCCCGCCGAGCTCTCGCACGTCACTGCCGCGTAGTCGTGCTTAGGTACCGAAATTGCAATGAATACATCATCAGCCATCATCACCACCACCACCACCACCATCATCATCATCATCATCATCATCATCATCATCATCATCATCATCAGCATCATCATCATCACCACCATCATCAGCAGCAGCAGCATCTGTAGCAGCAGCAGCAGCACCAGTATCTATACATAGATATAAATACATAGATCATTCGATCATCATCACATCATCAACATCATCATCATCATCATCATCATCATCATCATCATCAGCATCATCAGTATCAACAAAATCAGCATCAGCATCAACATCAGCATCAACAGAATCATCATCGACAGCATCATCAGCATCATCAGCATCAGCAGCATCATCATCATAATCGTCAGCATCATCATCATCATCATCATCAGCATCATCATCATCATCATCATCATCATCATCATCATCATAATCATCATCATCATCATCATCATCATCGTCAGCATCATCATGACCATCGGCAGCATCACCATCATCACCACCACCACCACCATAATCATCACCACCACCACCACAGCCACCACCATCATCATCATCACCACCACCACCATCATCATCACCACCACCACCACCACCACCACCACCATCATCATCATCATCATCATCATCATCATCATCATCATCGTCATTATCATCACCATCACCATCAGCATCATCAGCATCATCAGAATCACCATCATCACCATCAGCATCAACAGAATCATCATCGACAGCATCATCAGCATCATCATCATCATCATCATCATCATCATCATCATCATCACCATCATCATCATCATCATCATCATCATCATCATCATCATCATCATCATCATCATCATCATCATCATCATCATCATCATCATCATCATCATCATCATCATCATCATCATCATCATCATCATCATCATCATCATCATCATCATCATCATCATCATCGTCAACATCATCATCAACGTCATCGTCATCGACATCGAAATCGACATCGTCATCCCCACCAGCCGGAAGAAGTGGGCAGGATCATGAGGTAGGAAGGCGCTGGGCTTCCAGGACGCCCCCAAGAAGCCCCCAAGAGGCGCCCAAGAGGCCCCGAAAAGCATCGCAGAAGCACCCAAGAGCCCTCCAGGAGGCACCTGAGAGGTACCCCTCAATACCCTCATAGTCCTCCAAGAGGCTCCTGAACCACAGCCCAGGCACGGTGGCGGGTTGGGCCGAGGGCCACTTGATCCACCGCCCCCTGTTGGCTTGCCACAAGGGGGCCCAGCGTGCTACACGTCTGAGAGGTTTTGGCTCTCTGGAAAGACTCCCCCATGGCGCTTCGGCCCAGCGCGCCGGCCACCCGGAGAGCCGCCAAAAAAAACATCCCTCGTGGCACGAGTCGCCTCCAGGACGGCCAAGATGCCCAAGATGGACTGGGCGTTCCGCCTGAGACTTCCACACCATGTCTGGCCATCGCTCGGACGTCCGTTCCCCGTGTTTTTGTTCGGTCTCGTGCATGTTTTTTTTTTTCGCCGAATGATCAAGGATGCTCCTCGATGGTCCTCGCCCAAGGAAAGATGCACGCGTCCGAGCGATGCTCAGATGTATGATCATGGAACTCGAAGCTTGCAACAGCTTCACGGATGGAGGGCGGGTCGCGTTCAAGTGAAGCTTCCGCCTCAGCGCCGCGCGCACTCGTCTCCCAACTTTGCAAGATGACGGTGCCCGCATGCGCCGCGAAGTGCTGTACTGGGTGGGGGGGACGCATGCGGGCGGTCCCACTGGGACCTTCGCTGGAGTTCCCTATCGGGCCACGAAGCGCTGTACTGGGTGTGGCCGACGCATGCGGGCGGTCCACCTGGGGCCTTCGGTGGAGCCCCCCGTGGGGCCACGAAGCGCTGTACTGATTGTGGCGGGCGCGTGGGGGGGTTCTCAAAATGCTGCTCTCGAGATAGCGCACCGCACAGTCACTGCCAAAGCTTACATGAGCTTCGCACACGGAGGGCGGGCCGCTTTCAAAATGGGGTTCTCGCTTAAACGCCGGGCACACTCAGTTTAAAGCATTGCAAGAGTTGCACGGGTTGAGGGCGGGCTGTCTAAACAAGTGGCTCTCGCCTGAGCGCCGCTCACACTCGTCTTCAAAATCGCAGCAATTTCACAAGTGGAGGGCTGTGTCGTTTCAACATGCGGTTCTCGCCTTAGCGCCGCGCACACTCGTCGTAAACATGTTTAACAGCTGCAACAGTCTCACGGATTGAGGGCGATTCGTTTTCAGACTATGGCTCTCGACTTAGCGCCGCGCACATTCGTCGTGCAAAAAATGCCAGAATTTCAGGCATGGAGGGCGGTTCCTTTTAATTTGAAGGGGCTTCATGGATGGAAGGCGGTTCCTTTGCAAAGTGTGGATCTCGCCTGAGCGCCGCGCACAATCGTCTTAAGAGTTTACAATAGTTCCAAATATTGTCATGGTTAAAGTCCCCGAAATTGTGTTTCGGCACGATGTAGGACTGTCAGGGCGCAAGTGGTGCTCTGGCACAGTTCAGGATGTTCAAAGTGTTGTCTTCCAACGGGGTACTTACCTTAGTGGACATGAAACGTTACAGGGGTTCTATGAAGACGGAGCTTGGAGGACAAATTTCTTTCAACGTCGTTGATGAGTCTTGGGCTCATACGTGTCCCCCTCCTCCTCAGCCCCCCTCCTCCTCCGCCCCACTCCTCCGCCCCACACTCCCTCACCCCACCACTCCCTCTCCCCTCCATTCCTCCCTCCCTCCTTCGTATCGTCGTCTTCGTCGTCGTCGTCGTCGTCGTCTCTCGTTGTCGTTCGTCGCTCGTCGCTCACCCCCCTTGGCGGGCACCCCCGGGGCTCCACGCGCTCACGCGGCAGCTCACCTCCCGCGGCCTCGGCCTCCTGCGGCGAGAACCAGGGGGAAGACAGCAGGACGACGTGCGACGGAACGCTTCCCGGCCGGTGGAGGGAGGAGGGAGACGCGCCCTCCCCCCTCCTCCTCCCCTCCGTCCTCCTCCTCTTCTTCCTCCTCCTCCTCCTCCTCCTCCTCCTCCTCCTCCTCCTCCTCCTCCTCCTCCTCCCTCCTCCTCCTCCCTCCTCCTCCCCTCCTCCTCCTCCTCCTCTCCTCTCCTCCTCCTCCTCCTCCTCCTCCTCCTCCTCCTCCTCCTCTCCTCCTCCTCCTTCCTCTCCTCCTCCTCCTCCTCCTCCTCCTCCTCCTCCTCCTCCTCCTCCTCCTCCTCCTCCTCCTCCTCCTCCTCCTCCTCCTCCTCCTCCTCCTCTCCTCCTCCTCCTCCTCCTCCTCCTCCTCCTCGTCCTCCTCCTTTCCCCCGGACTCCCCCTCCTTCCTCCCTCCCTCCCATCTCCACTCATCTCCCCCCCAGGCAACGTGCGGCGGTGCGCCGTCAGACCGAGACGCCCCCGATAAAAACTACCACGTGTCATCCGCCTCCTTCTCCTCCTCATCATCAGCAGCAACAACTGCAGCAACAGCAGCAGCAGCACCACCAACAACAACGACAACTACACCAACTGCAATTACAACTACAACGACAACGGCAACAACAACAACAACAACAACAACAACAACAACAACAACAACAACAACAGCAGCAGCAGCAGCAGCAGCAGCAGCAGCAGTAGCAGCAACAACAACAACAACAACAATAGCAGCAACCACAACCACAATAATAATAACAACAACAACAATAACAACAACAGCAACAACAACAACAACAACAACCACAACCACAACCACAACAACCACAACAACCACAACAACAACAACAACAACAACAACAACAACAATCACTTTACCCGAACGCTCAGTGTTCTCACCAGTGCCAGGGTTTTCATGCGACGCCAGCCAATACCCCCACTTTGTGGGGGGGCAGTGCAAGCTCTACCAAATATCCACACGACTCTTCGCCACCACCCACACCCAGCTTCCCGCCCTATGACGTTCGGACACTTCACTTCGTGGCCTGCGGACGACCGTGGCTACTACACTGGCGTGGAGTACACACCCACAGAAGTGTTTTAAGCCTACGTTCGTACACCCACAGAAGTTGTTAAGCCTTGTTAACCCACATGCAAGAGCGTGCGAAAGTAGCTCGCGCGAGCTCATGTAACATAAATGTTGGAAAACCATTGGTTTTTTTAGGATTCGGACAGCGCGCGCGGGTGGAAATTTTGAAAAGTCGTGCAGGTGTTTTTCGAGGACCTACGGTGCGATTCGTGTGATTTTATGATGCGCGGTGCTAAAATTCTTAAGAACCCAATGGTTTTTGGAGATTTCGGCGTGCGCGCGCGAAGAAAAAACGAATGTGTCCCGCATGGTATTATTTGACAGGGATGATGGCCCTGGCAGGTGCGCAACCGTTGTCGCAGAAGTTCGAAAAAGTTGCTCGCAAAAGCCCGTTTGACAGAAATGTTTAAAAAGTGTTGGGTTTCCTACGAATCCGCAAGAGCGCGCGGGATGAGATTTTGACATTTTTTTGTTGAAAAACCATTGGTTTTTTGATGTTTTTATGTTAAAATCGCTCCGAACACTAAGCTTTTGGAAGGATTTCGTCTTGCGCGCGCGAATGTCCACTTTACCTTATTTTTTGCAAGGGATTCTTGAAATTTGATTATATTAGAACAAGAAATGTCATTTTATAGTGTTTTTTGCAAGGGAAAGCGGGGGGGAACAAAACAACCGGATCTTGATCACATCGAATTACCTGAGGCTTCCTCACGAAAATGATGAAAATGTAGCTGCGGCCTAGGCGGCGCAGGGGGGCCGTGCACCAGGGGCCCCAACAATAATTATTCTTTAGAATTAATAATGTTCAACAACAACAACAACAACGCGAGGACACCCTCTCAGGCCACCCCGGTGGGGCCCGTGGCGGTGTCCTCGCCCCCGGGGCGAGCGCACTCCCCCAGGCCACACGTTGCAGTTGCTGCCGCGGGGGGGGGGGGAGCAACACGCAACACCTCTGTCATACGCTAACGTAAATCTATATGTGTTTCCGAATTTCCGTGGGCTCCCTTACTGTTCCCCACGCATTCCTGTGTCCGAAAACCGACCGCGCGCCAGCGAGGCCAGCTCCTCCCCCCTATAGGACTCCTATGGAATCGTGCAGGACCCTGCAAGGATCTTATAGGAACCCTACAGGGTTCCGATGGAATCCTGTAGGACCCTATAAGGATCCTATAGACTCCCTATAGGGTTCCTATGGAATCGTGCAGGACCCTGTAAGGATCCTATGAGATCCCTATAGGGTTCCGATGGAATCCTGTAGGACCCTGTAAGGATCCTATAGGATCCCTATAGGGTTCCGATGGAATCCTGTAGGACCATGTAAGGATCCTAGAGGATCCCTATGGGGTTCCAGTGGAATCGTGCAGGACCCTGTAAGGATCCTATGGGATCCCTATACGGTTCCGATGGAATCCTGTAGGACCCTGTAGGGATCCTATAGGGTCCCTATAGGGTTCCGATGGAATCGTGCAGGACCCTGTAAGGGTCCTAGATCCTAGAGGATCCCTATAGGGTTCCGATGGAATCCTATAGGGCCCTGTAGGGATCCTATAAGATCCCCCTCGGGTTCCTATAGGGTTGCCATGGAATCCTGTAGTCTTACAATAGGATTACTATGGGATTCCTACAGGATTGCTATAGGGTTGCTAGGGATCCCATAGGATTCCAATAGTATTACAATCTGCAGGACCCTGTGGGGATTCTATAGGCTTCCTACAGGGTTCCTATGGAATCCTGTAGGACACTGACGGGATCCTATAGGGACCCAGAAGGACCCCAATAGGATTCCTATTGGAATCCTATGGAATCCTGCAGGCCCCTGCAGGGATCCTATAAAGCCCCCATAGGATTCCTATAGGAATCCTATGGAATCCTGTAGGACCCTGTAAGGGTCCTATAGGATTCCAATATGAGTCCCATAGGATTCCAATGGCATTCCTATGGAATCCTGTTGGACCCTGTAGGGACCTTATGGGTTCCCAATGAGATTCCAATAGGATTCCTATGGGATCCTGTAGGACCCTGTTGGGACCCTATAGGATTTCCACTAGAATTCCAATAGGATTCCTATGCAATCCAGTAGGACCCTGGTGGGACCCTATAGGATTTCCAACAGTATTCCAATAGGATTCCTATGGAATCTTCTAGGACCCCGTAGGGATCCTATACGATTTCCAAGAGGGTTCCAAATTATGATTCCTATGGAATCCTCTAGGACCACCCTGTAGGGACCCCCCAGGATTCAATCGGATTCCAGTAGCATTCCGATGGAATCCTGTAGGACCCTGCAGGGGCCCTAGAGGTTTTCTCGAGGATTCCAAGAGGATTGTCATGGAATCCTGTAGGACCCTGTAGGGATCCTATAGGATTCCTACAGGATTCCTGTAGGACCCTGCAAGGATCCTACAGGATTCCAACAGGATTCCTATGAGGTTCCTACGGAAGCCTGTAGGACCCTGTAGGGATCCCATAGGAATTCCCATAGGAGACCCATGGAATCCTGTAGGATGCTGTAGAAATCCTATAATATTCCAAACAAATCGACGGAATCCTGTAGGACCCTGTAGGGATCCTATAGCAATCCGATGGAATCCTGTAGGACCCTGACGACGACGACCATCCCATCATAATCATCATCGTCATCATCATGATGATCATCATCGTCCGCCTCTTCGCGCTCATAGTCCTCATCATCGCCATCCTGTGCGTCACCATCATCATGATGATCATCATCATCGCCACCATAATCATCATCAGCATGACCAACATGTGATCATCATCATCGTCATCATCATCATCATCATCAGCATGTCACAACAATCCTCATCTTCATCGTCCTCATCCTCGTCCTCACCTTCCTCACTCGTCATCCTCATCCTCATCATCGTCCTCCTGCTCGTGACCCTCATCATCACCCCGATCCTCCTCCTCCTCCTCGTCCGCATCGCCCTGACCATTAACAGCATGACCCTCACATTCGTCGGCATGTTCAGCCTCATCATCTGTCAGCGATCAACATCCCCATCATTGTCGTCCTCCTGGTCCGCCTCCCCCTCCCCCTCCTCGCCCTCCTCCGTTTCCTCCCCCTCCTCCTCCTCCTCCTCCTCTTCCTCACCCCCCTCCTCCTCCTTCTCCTCCTCATCCTCCTCTTCCTCCTCCTCCTCCTCCTCCTCTGCCACTCGTGCTCCTTAGCCGCCACATCGTCCTCGCAGCCCTCACTTCCTGGTCCTGCTCCGGCCCTAATCGTGGCGATCCTTCTCCTCCTCCTCCTCCTTTTCCTCCTCCTCCTCCTCCTCCCGGACCAAGGGATCCTGGACGAAGAGGTTTCAGAGGACGTTGAGATCCTTGGTTTCTGGAGGACACTGGCCACAAAGTCGGCTCCACCACCATGGACTTGTCGGCTCAGCGAGGTGTTGTGTATGTGATGATCCTGAAGGGTCCTTGTGGCACAGGGCCTACGAGTGCCCGAAGTATGCAGGGCTCAGGCGCGAATGGGTTGACGACTTCCACAGGACGAGGGCTCGCAGGGTCCGCGAATGGGGGTACGACGAGGGGGAGAGGTTTGCGAGAGGCCTGTTCCCGTCGCCAGAGTTGGTCTTCCCCGTCCCGACCGAGGCCCAAGAGACCATCTTGTGGCACAACAGACCTGAGTCAGGGCTCCTGAGTGGCACGCTGTTCTTAGACGGTTCGGCCTTATGGGCCTCAGCTCCGTTTTTGGCCCGAGCGGGCTGGGCCATCGTGCAGGTAGATAGGTTTGGAAATTTAGTTTCGGCGGCCTACGGGCCCGTCCCATGCAGTGTGTGCCCTAAGCAGAGCTCTAGAGACGCGGAGGATTACGCCGTCTCGATGCTGCGTGTATGTGCTATGGCGCCCTTCGATGTCTTTATAGACTGTGCAGGCACTGTTGGGACTCTCCGTGGCGGCGAAGGCGCGGGATCCCAAAGCAGTTGTGGTCGGGCCCAGCTCTGGAGTCCGTTCTGGGGAGCGTTCTCGGAAGGGGACTTCCAAGTTTTTAAAACCAAGGCCCATTGCACCAGGGCCCAGGTAGATGCGGGTGCTACCACTGAGTGGGAGTTCAGAGGGAACGCCCACGCCGACAGGTTTGCGAAGCTAGGTGCTGCGGAGCACGGCGTGGGTGAGGAGCAGTTTCAGTTGTGGCAAGGCTTTAAGTTTTTAGCCCAAGAATCCGCCCGATGGGCGGCTTGTGTGCACGTTGAGTCCGATGGCCAGGACCACGATGACTTGATGGAAGCGTACTGGAGGTCTCGGGGCTCAGCTGCCGCGGAAGACCCTGAGACCCCAGAGGACCCCGAGCCTGTGCCCCAGGCTTGCAGCAGTGGTGGGGAAGTGGGGTCGTCGTCGCTCGGTGGCTACGGGGTGGGCGACGGGTGGGAGGAGTATGCCGACGCCAGTTTTTGGTGGCGAGGCCACAACCTGCTGGAGGCAGACGTGCTCAGCCGCACCGCCCACGTTTCCTCGGTCGTCTTCTGCTGCCGCTGTGGCACCGTATCCTCGGACGGCAAGCTAACTACGGGTCTCTCGGGGTGGTGTCCCGAGAAGGCCAAAGCTGGTGGTGTGGACCAGCTGCGTAGGATCAAGAAAGGAGAATTCCCCTCTTACCGCGCCAATGTGCGCTCTTTGAAGGTCGGGAGGCCGCACGGAGTGCTGCCAGCGACCCGCTCGAGCCTAGCCGAGGCCGAGCCGAGCCTGCCCCCAGAGCCACAGCCCTCGGCCCCAAGCGTCGGGGCTAGTGGCGGATGGGGGCGGGCTGATCTTGGGGGGCGGGCCGAGGTTCTGAGGGCGTTTGGGCTGTGGGAGGGGGAGCTCGAACTGGTCCGCGACCTCGGCCGATCGGCCCTGCAGCGGAGCGCGGACAGCCCTGAGGAGGGCGACTCCGACGCCGAGCCATTCTGATTTGGGGCTTGACCCCGCGTTTAGCGCAAACCCATACCATACCATACCATACCATACTCCTCCTCCTCCTCCTCTTCCTTCTCCTCCTGCTCCTCCTCCTCCTCCTCTTGTGGTCCTCCTCCCCATGATCCTCCCCTTCTTCCTCCTTATCCTCCTCCTCCTCCTCCTCCTCCTCCTCCTCCTCATCCTCATCCTCATCCTCATCCTCATCCTCATCCGCCTCCTCCGCCTCCTCCTCCTCCTCTTCTCCTCCTCCTCCTCGCCACTCGTGGCTCCTTCGTGCCGCACATCTTGCCTCGCAGCCTCACTTCCTGGTCCTGGCTCCTGCTCCGGCCCTCATCGTGGCGATCCTTGCCCTCCTCCTCCTCCTCCTCCTCCTCCTCCTCCTCCTCCTCCTCTCCCTCTGTTCCTCCTCCTCCTACTCCTCCTCTTCCTTCTCCTCCTGCTCCTCCTCCTTCTCTTGTGGTCCTCCTCCCCATGATCCTCCTTTCCCTCCTTATCCTCCTCCTCCTCTCCTCCTCCTCCTCCTCCTCCTCCTCCTCCTCCTCCTCCTCCTCCCTCCTCCCTCCTCATCCTCATCCTCATCCTCCATCCTCATCCTCATCCTCCTCCTCCGCCTCCTCCTCCTCTTCTCCTCCCCCTCCTCTGCCACTTGTGCTCCTTACCGCCACATCGTCCTCGCAGCCCTCACTTCTGGTCCTGCTCCTGCTCCTGCCCTCATCGTGGCGATCCTTTGTCCTCCCCTCCTCCTCCTCCTCCTCCTCCTTCTCTCTTCCTGTCTCCTCTCCACTGTTCCTCCTCCTCCCTCCTCCTCTTTCTTCTCTCCCTGCTCCTCCTCCTTCTCTTGTGGTCCCCTCCCCATGATCCTCCCTTTCCTCCTCCTTATCCTCCTCCTCCTCCTCCTCCTCCTCCTCCTCCGCCTCCTCTCCGCCTCCCTCCTCCTTCCTCCTCCTCCGCCTCCTCCTCATCCTCCTCCACCTCCTCCTCCTCCTCCTCCTCCTTCCTCCTCTCCTCCTCCTCCTCCTCCCCCCTCCTCCTCCTCCTCCTCCTCTCCTCCTCCTTCCTCTCCTCCTCCGCCTCTCCGCCTCCTCCGCCTCCTCCTCCTCCTCCTCCCTCATCCTTACTCCTCCTCCCTCCTCCTCCCTCCTCCTCCTCCTCCCTCCTCCTCCTCCACCTCCTCCTCATCCCCTCAAATTTCTCTTCGACACAGTACACACTCTGCGTTTGAAAGGATGCAGGGGTCCCAGAGAGGGAAACACGAAAAAAACATTTCGAGCATCCAGCCCTAAGAGGCCCCCAGGAGGCCCCAAGAGGCCCCCAACAGGCCCCCCAGAGGCCCCCAACAGGCCTTCGGGAAGCCTTCAAGAGGCCCCCTAGAGGCCCCCTAGCGATCCCAGGAAGCCCCCCGAATGCCCCCCCATCACCCAAGCAAGTGCCAGCGATCATCATCATCCTCCTCTTTCTCCTCCTCCTCCTCCTCCTCCACCCTCCTCCCTCCTCCCTCCTCCGCCTCCAAGAGACTCCCGAAACCCCTGCCAAGAAAACCCCACCAACGCCGCATTGACAACGATCCCTCGGGCAAACAGCAGAGATGAGGCTACATGGGCCGGCGGAATGAGCGAAGCGATTAAATAAAGGTTTCGCAAGGATTTCCAAAATCGTGCCCCGAACAAAAACACAGCTGTTTGGAAGCATGGCTTGCCATCCAGGAGCTGTCGCACAACAGAGAACTGCGCGCTTGCCAACTCTTAAGAAGAAACAATCGGGTGTTCGACGTACGCGCCCCTCGCGCGCGCATGTCGAAATCATTCGAACGCCCTCGCGCGCATCATGGGGGGAGCATCATGGGGGGGCGAAATACCTGCCAAATAACACCATGCGGGCCACTCGCGCGCGCATGTCGAGACACGTCCAGAAACCGTCTTCACCGACGCGCGTGGCTCTTAGATCGCCCCCTTATGACATTGCCTTCTGGCGCTCTTTTCGGCCTCCAAACGGCCAAGATGGCCTCCAAGAGGGCGTCCAAGCCAGTCGAGATGACATCAAGACGGCCCAGGACGGCCCAAGATGGCTCAAAAGGCCCCCAAAGACTGCCTCCAGACAACTCAAAGGCCTTCCAAGAGCGCCCGAGGTGGCCAACAACACTGAGTTCCTCTGGGTTGCTGGAGGAGTTTGAGGTTCTCGCCTATGCGGGTTGTCAACCGCACAGGATGGCCCGAAGAACTTCCAAGATACCTTTAAGCCGATGAAGTCGGGCCCCGAGTCGGCCCAAGAAGGCCCCAAGATCGCCCAAGAGGTTCCCAAGAGGGCCCCGAAACGGCCCTAAAGCGGTCCAAGAAGGCACCAAGACGGCCCAGAGGTCCCCGAGACGGCCTCCGAAGGCGTCACACGGCCAAACGCCTCCCTAAGCCCCAAGAGGCCCCCAAGAGGCCCAAGAAGGCCCCCAAGAGGCCCCCAGAGACGCCCCATGAGGCTCCAAGGAGGCCCACAGGTGGCCCTGGAAGGACCCCAAGAACCTTTCTCCTCCTCGTCCTCCTCCTCTTCCTCCTCCTCTTCCTCCTCCTCCTCCTCCTCCTCCTCATCATCATCATCCTCATCCTCATCCTCATCCTCATCCTCATCCTCATCCTCATCCTAATCCTCATCATCATCATCATGATCATCATCATCATCATCATCATCATCATCATCATCATCATCATCATCATCATCATCATCATCATCATCATCATCAGCAGCAGCAGCAGCATCAGCATCCATCATCATCATCATCATCATCATCATCATCATCATCATCATCATCATCATCATCATCATCATCATCATCATCATCATCATCATCATCATCATCATCATCATCATCATCATCAGCATCATCATCATCATCATCATATCATCATCATCATCATCATCATCATCATCATCATCAATAATAATAATAATATCATCATCATCATCATATCATCATCATCATCATCATCATCATCATCATCATCATCATCATCATCATCATCATCATCATCATCATCATCATCATCATCATCATCATCATCATCATCATCATCATCATCATCATCATCATCATCATCATCTTCCCCTTCCTCCTCCTCCTTCTTCTCCTCCCTACCGCGGACGAAGACGATGTCGGGATCATGACCCTCCCTCCAATACCCACCATCCCCAGTGCAAAATCGAAGAATTTGTGGTTGGCACGACTGAGGGTTTTCAGACGGTTGTCGTCAGACGTGGCACTTCCAGCAGTTAGAATGAATTCGTGTAGGGACCCATGAAGAGTGAACTTGAAGGGATGGTTTATTACATATCCTTGATGCGTCCTGGGTTTACAGCGGTCCTCTTCCTCCTCCTCCTCCTCCTCCTCCTAGTCCTGCTCCTGCTCCTGCTCCTGCTCCTGCTCCTCCTCCTCCTCCTCCCGCTTTCCTCCTCCCGCCTCCTCCTCCTCCGCTTCTTCCTCCTCCTCCGCTTCTTCCTCCTCCTCCTCCTCCTCCTCCTCCTCCTCCTCCTCCTCCTCCCCCCCCTCCTCCTCCTCCCCCTCCTCCTCCTCCTCCTCTCCTCCCCCTCCTTCCTCATCCCTCCTACCTCCTCCCTACTTCCTCCTTCATGCTTCCTCCTTCCACCTTCACCCTTCCTCATGGATCCTCCCCGTTCTCTTCCTTCTCCTCCTACTCCTCCTCGTACTACTCCTCCTCCTCCTCCTCCCTCTGAGCCGAGAAGGAGAAGCGGACCTCGGTGACGTCCGAGTGGATGCCGATCAAGAACCACAGGGGCTCGCCGGTGCGTCGGCTGGTCGCCACTGTGAGCCCGTGGAGGTCGAGCAGGTTGAGGAAGAGCTCCTCGGCGAGATAGGCATTCCAGCGGGAGGTGGGAGGAGAAGGGATCGGGAGCAAGCATCAAAGGCACAGCTTGGGTCCTCTTGGGATCGTGGACGTCGAAGATGGAGAATCGAGGGCATCGATCACGGAAGGCATCGAGGACAGATCGAGCATCGAGGCTCTCAGACGCCGCTGGCCATGCCCAGGCCTCCGGACGCCTCCAGGGGCCTGCGGAGGCCTCCCTGGAGGCCTCCGGAGAGAAGGAGAAGAAGTAAGAGGATATTCCTGGGCCTCCTGAGAATGGAACTTCAATTACGAGGATGCAGCAGGAAAAACTAGGGTAAAGAGGGCGGGGTTAAGGGGATCGAGGAAGAGACGGGTGGGCAAGGGGGGGCAAAAGGAGAAGGAGAAAGGAGGAGGGAGGAACGAGACGAACGACGAGGCACGAATGACAGAGAAGGGAGGAGGCGTAATTAGCAGCAAGATGAGCAAGGAGCGAAAGGAAGAAGAGGAGCAGGAGGAGGAGGAGGATACCAACGCTCGGGGAAAGATGGGGAGGAGGCGCAGTGGCGAAGATGAAGAGTACGTAGAAGGGAGAACGAGGAGGGAAAGGAGGGGGAGAAGACGGCAGAAGGAGGAATAAAGAGGAGGAGGAGGAGAACAAGGGGCGGTGAAGCGCGAAGAGGCGGAGCATGATGGCATGGATGAGAAGAAGGATGAAAGGGAGGAGGACCAGGAGGAGAAAGACGGAAGAGAGAAGGAGAAGGAGAAGGAAAAGGAGGAGGAGGAGGAGGAGGAGGAGGAGGAGAGGACGAAGAGGAAGAGAAAGAAAAGGAGGATACCACGCTCGGAGAAATATGGGGAGGAGGCGAGGAGAAGGGGGAAAGAGGAGGGGAAGGAGGGGGAGAAGCAGGCAGGAGGGCAGAAAGAGGAAAGAGAGAGAGAGAGAGACGGATGAGGAGGAGGAGGACGAGGAGGAGGAGGAGGGGCGGAGAAGGGGGAGCGGGATGACAGGGATGAGAAGAAGGATGAAAGGGAGGCGGACGAGGAGGAGGAGGAGGAGAATAATGAAGGCGAAGGAGGAGGAGGAGGTGAAATAAGAAGAACAAAAAGACGACGGAGAGAGAGGGAGAAGAGGAGGAGGAATACGGAGGACGGAGGACGGTGAAGAAGGAGTGCGGAGGAAGAGGAGGGGGATGAGGGGGAGGAGGACGAGGGGAAGGAGGGAAGGGAAATGGGGGAGGAGGTGTACGAGGACGCGGATTAGGAGGAAGAGGAGTGTAGAGGAGGAGGAGGAGGAGGAGGAGGAGGAGGACGAGGAGGCAGACCCATGCCAGCGTCAGGTTCTGTCGAAGTAGGAGGAAACGGGAGGAGTGGGGATGGGGAGAAGATACTCAGGGATGATGGCGAGGAGGGCATCAGGAGGAGGGGGCATTAGTGAAAAGGGAAAGGGGTAAGAAGGAGGACGCGAGAGAAAGAGGATAGAGGGAGGAGTGCGAGGAGGAGGAAGCAGAGTAGCAGAAATGAGGGGGGTGAGTGGAAGAAGGAAGGAGGATGGAGGGGGGGCCACGACGACGACGAGGGCTGGAGGACGGGGAGGAGAAGGAGAAGGCCGAGGTGAGTAAGGACGCGGCGGAGGGTTGGCGGAGCGGGATGGTGGGTATGAGAAGGGGGAGAAGAAGAAAGGAGAGGAGAAGAAGTCGGAAGAGGAGGAAGGAAAGGAGGAGACGGAGGAGAGCAGAGGGAAGGAGAGGGGGAGAAGGAGAAGAGGAGGAAGAGAGGAGGCAGAGCGTCCTCAAGAAAGCCCCAGATCCTTACCTAGCCACTTTACGCGACTGTCTGACAGAGGTGCCTCCAGAAAGGAGGTTTACGGCCTTCCGACCAGCCGTTGCGATGGAACTAACAATCGAGAGGGAGAACGACCCGCTGATCGCATCGCGCCTCTCCTGGTGGAGAAGACGATGCAGGTGGAGCATCAGCGCCACTCCTCGAGCCGAGTCCAGCGATGGTTCGACGAGGGACCCGCGTTCCTCCCCCTCCTCCTCCTCCTCCTCCTCCTCCTCCTCCTCCTCCTCCACCTCCTCCTCCTCCTCCTCCTCCTCATCTCCTCCTCCTCCTCCTCCTCCTCCTCCTCCTCCTCCTCGTCGTCCTCTTCCTCTGCTTCCTCCTCATCATCATCATCATCATCATAATAATAATCAACATCATCATCACCATCCTCATCATCATCATCATCATCATCATCATCATCACCAACATCATCACCATCATCACCATCATCATCAACATAACCACCAGCAGCAGCATCATCATCATCATCATCATCATCATCATGAGCATCATCATCATGAGCATCATCACCATCCCCATCCTCATCCTCACCCTTATTTTATTCCTCCTCCTCCTCCTCCTCCTTGACGAAGAGAACTAGGGGAATCTTTCGGCCGGCCCGGCTCCCCGGACTTGCGCTGGTTAGTGAGGACCCCGGTCCACGAGCTACCCGTGCGGCACGCCTCCCTGAGGTGCACGATAGTTTCCAGGTCGTTCGGGCAACCTGGGGGGGCATGAACTCCTCCCCGCCTCCTCGAAGAGCGAGGACGGAGAAGGAGAGGCAGGAGAGGGGAGGGGAGCACGAAAGCCGACGACTGAGCACGGGGAAAGGCAGGAGGAGGGCGACGGACCACCTACCACAGAGGAAGAACCAGAAACGGAGCAGGAGGAAACGGAAGAGGAGGAGCAGCAGGAGGAAGAGGAGGAGGAGGCGGCGGAGGGGGAAAGTGGGAGGCAAGAGAGGGGAGGGGTGCGCAGGGAGGAGATGAGCGGGGAGGAGAAGACAAGCGAGAGGGGGAGGGAGGAGGAGGCTCCCCTCGACGAGCATGGGTTCCGTGAGGGCCGACCATCCGGATCACGACGGGGAGGGCCCCGCTTCCCCCCACCACCAGACTTCGAATCCTCGCCCTCCTCTTGGCAGGGAGGGGGAGGAGGAGGAGCGCAGCGCCTCAGGAAGGTCTCCCGCCGCGCACGCGGGCGCGCGACGGACTACCCCCTGGCGCCGCCTACTCACGGCACGGTGCCGTAAGAGCAGGAGGCAATGTAGAAGGAGAGCAACTGGAAAAGGTCGCCCTCAAGGCCGTGGACGCAGGCCAACTTGCCGCCGAGGAAGGAGGCGTCGCCACCGAAGAAGACGCCGTGCCACCAGCCGACCACGGAAAGGCAGCGAATAACGACATGGTCGATCAACGCGCCGCGTGGCTGCAAGAGGAGCCCCCCTGCGGGGGCGGCGCTGCTGGGGTACGTCGGGCACGAGGCGCCAGGCCCCTCTCGACGCGCCTGATCGCATCTTGCTGGTTGCGGCGCGTGGACTCGTTGGGCGAGAGCCCATCGCACCTCAAGCCAAGCTTCCGCACTGTGCGGACATCACCCGCAGCACAGTGAGACCCGCAGCGCCTGCCACAGTAAACATTGTTGCCCCTGAACACGCCGTGCCCAAGCGCAGCGAAGGCGTCCCCGACCTCCTCGTCCCCGTCCCCGACCTCCCCGACAAGGCTGCGAGCGCTGAGGGCTGTGAGCCCCCTTCGAGCGCCAAGGCCGCGCGCCGCCGGGCCACGGCCCCTCGGAGGGCGTAAGCTCGCCTCCTCCGTAGTTCGCGCGGGCGTTTGTTTCGAAGCGGGGGGGGGGTACAGCCATACACAACTGGAGCCTCCGAAGGCCCCCAGGGGCCTCGCTGGATGCCCAGAGGCTTCCAGGCTCGGAGAGACACGAGAGTTGTTCTTCGAGCAGAACAAGACAGACAAATATGTTAACAATGCTCGTTCGTCGTTGCTCGCAGGCTAACTACAGACCCTTGGCACCCGGCTTCTGCGTATATGAACGCAGACGTTTGGCGTGACCCTTTTTTGGTGAGCATGCTAAGGGGTTTGTAAAACCGAAAATGTGTCCGGCGGGCAGACCCTGACGGGCGGGACGGGCAAGTCGGGCGGGCCCTATCGGGCGAACGGGAAGGCGGGACATTAAATCGCGACAAATCCTGCAAAGTGCGTGGAAATCCCAGGCGAGAGCGCGATTGCTGAGTCAAGTGTGAGGAAGTCCTAGACAACAATATCATTCCAGAGCAGCGATTGCACGAATCCTGCGCAACCAAAAAAACATGCGACAAAACGATTTTTGGTTAAATCGCAGGGACGTACCAGGCTCAAGCAAGAGCGCGACTTCTGAATAGATTGTGAGAGGTCTCAAGCAGGAGTCGTTGTTGTTGTTGTTGTTGAACTCTCACTTCTGGAGAATAGTGATTGTGATCTCCACCCTCCGGTACCATATTTGTTTTTCAAATGAAGTGCCCCTGTTGGGATTCGCGCCCTTCTTTTCAAGGGCAAATATTCCTGCCCGAGTTGCGCCCCTGGCCCGTGAGTTAAAACAAGAACGGCTCCCGCCTGATATTTCCTCACAATGCATTCCCAAATCGCGCTTTCGCGCGGGACTTCCTTGCAATGTATGCAGAAGTCGCGCTCTCGCGTGGGACTTCCTCGCAATCTACTCAGATACCGCGCCCTCGACACTCAAGAGGCACGCTCTCGCTGTGGTTTTAACTTACGACTTACTTGGAAATCGAGCTATCGCTCAAGACTTCCGTAGGAGCAGCATGAAATACACGTTGCAGGTCAGAAGATATACTCCCAAGGGGGTACGATCGAAACTGAAAAAGGCGGGTATCGAGGGTTTTGGATATACGTGCTAAATGACACGCGAACAGATGCAGGCGAACAGTCTTGAGATGGTTGTCGTTGTTGCTGTTGTTGCTGCTTCTGTTGTCGTCGTCGTTGCTGTTGGCATTATTGTTATTGTTGCTGTTGTGAAATCTCACTACTGAAGCATAATTATTGATCCCCCCCTCTGGGGCACATTGTGTTTCTTCAATTGACATGTTCCCGGAGTTCGCGCCCTGCTTTTCTTATCAAGGAAAGCGGGGGGTCACCAAACTAGGCCTCTGGCTCCCGATGTGCAACAACAACAACAACAACAACGGCTCCCGTCTGATACTCCCTCACAAATTATTCTTAAATCGCGTTTTCGCGCAACCTCCTCACAATGTATACTGGAATCGTGTTTTCGCGCGGGACCTCCTCGCAGTGGATTCACACGCCGCGCCCTGACACTCAAAAATCGCGCTCTCGCTGTGGATATCCTCGCGATTTTTGGGGGAATCGCGGTGTCGTTCAGGAATTCCTCGCGATTCATGCAGGACGCACGCTTCAGCAACCCGCCTGCGGTCCCCCCCCGTCCGGAGCACATTGTGTTTCTTCAATTGAGATGCTCCCAGGGTTCGCACCCTGCTTTTCTTATCAGGGAAAGCGGGGGTCACCAAACTGGGCCCCTGGCCCCCGAGTTACAACAACAACGGCTCCCGTCTGATACTCCCTCACAAGTTATTCCCAGATCGCGCTCTCGCGCGGGACCTCCTCACAACTTTTGCAGGAATCGCGTAGACGCGGCGCACTCGACAATCAGGAATCACGCTCTCGCCGAAGATATCCTCGCGATTTATTTGGGAATCGCGGTGTCGCTCAGGATTCCTTTGCGATTCATGCAGGACGCACGCTTCAGCAACCCGCCTGCGGTCCCCCCCCGTCCGGGGCACATTGTGTTTCTTCAATTGAAATGTTGTTCCCGGGGCTCGCGCCCTGCTTTTCTTATCAGGGAAAGCAAGGGGGTACCAAACTAGGCCCCTGGCCCCCGAGTTACAACAACAACAACAACAACAACAGCTCCCGCCGGATATTCCTCACAATGTATTCCAGAATCGCGCGTTCGCGCTGGACTTCCTCACAATGTATGCATAAGTCGCGCTCTCACGTGGGATTTCCTTGCAAGTTACTCAGACGCCGCGCCCTCGACACTCAGGAATCGCGCTCTCGCTGTGGGTATCCTCGCGATGTTTTTGGGAATCGCGCCGTCGCCCAGGACTTCCTCGCGATTCATGCACGACGCACGCTTCAGCAACCCGCCTGCTCGACCTGGCCGCCTGGGCCCGCCTTCCCGACCCGCCCGCCGATCTGCCCGTCTGGTTCTGCCACCCCCCTCCTGTTACTCTCTCTCTCTCTCTCTTTCTCGTGCTCCATCCTCCTCCCTCCCCCTTGTCCCTTCCTTCCATCCGTCCCCTCTTCCCCTGCCTTAGGGGCTGCACGTCAGACACGTTGCAGGTCAGACGATCTGCCCCAAAAAAGGGGCACGATCGAAGACGAAGAGGGCAGGTATCGAGGGTTCGGGACACACGGGTTGCATGGCACGCGAGCAGACAAGAGCAAACAGCCTGAAAATGATTGCTGCTGCTGTTGCTGCTGCTGCTGTTGCTGCTGTTGTTGTTGTCGTCGTCGTTGCTGTCGGTGGCGGTGCTGTTGTTGCTGCTGAAGCTGGGAAGGCAACAACACAGCTTGAGCCTCAAAACTTCCCGTGGCAAAAACAGGGGCGCACCGGGGGGGGTCCAACGTGATCAGGCCACCTGCTGGGCGCACCCCGCCCGACCAAGGCTAAACCAAGGAGGCCGGGCGGCCGGACCCCACGGGGCGTGCCTGGCGCACCGTGACGGGCGGGACGTGATGGGCCCCTTTTTCCATCACCACTACCAGATGCAGGAGGAGGAGGAGGAGGTGGAGGAGGAGGAGGACGAGGAGGAGGAGGAGGAGGAGGAGGACCTCCTCATCTCCCCTTCTCCCCCCGTCCTACATCTATGGTAGCGGTGGGGGAAAATGTGCCCATCAGGACGCGCGGGCGGACCCTAGAAAAGGCGGACCTGGCTGGCGGGCCCCAGCGGGCGGGCTGGGCGGGCGGACCCCAGCGGGCGAGACGGGCGGGCGGGGCCCTCAAGTGGCCAGGCAGGCCTCCAAGCTACTCTGGGTTTCTTAATACGCGTGGGGGGAGGTACCCCCTTAATGGGGGTCAACCCCCCGCCTCGTCGTCGCGCCGCGATGGGGGCCGGAGCGCCTTCGGCGCGCGGTGGCTGCCCGCGACGGGGGTCGATGTGGGGTTTGTCGGCGGGTGTGACGCCGCCCCGACGCTGATTGCAGTGCGGGCGCGGTCGCAAGAAACCCTCGCAAGAAACCCTACCCTGAGAACCCGCGCGCGAGGTGCACCTGAGGGGAAAAACATGGAGCAGCCTCAACGCGGCAGGTCCTTCTCAGTAGCGGCTGCGGGAAGTCAACGCGCAGCGCGAGGAGCGAAGAAGGCCCAGAAACCAAAGGAACCCTAACGAAAAGCACATGGCTTCTTGATGCGCGCCCCCACATGCTCGAAGAACACGTCGTGCAAACCACAAAACGTTCTCATAACATTATAGGATGGGCTTATAGGTGGGTCATGATGGGCGTGTTCCACCACCACCATAAGTTGGAGGGGGGAAGGGGAAGGAGGACGAGGAGGAGGAGGACGAA